TTACAAAATTGTATATGTAAGGGTCCCCTGTACATCCAGATTTTGTTTTTGGATAAATTCTGAATCACCCTGTATAGTGTTGTTGACCTAATTAATGTTAAAAACTGGTTTGATTGTAGTTTATTAAGTATTCGTGTTCATTTTCGGGTACAACTAATAACAGCCTCATCTTACTAAACTCAATTCATTCTTCAGTTTGCAAAAACAAAAACAAAGAGAAACACTTATGGTTGATTGTCATCTGAGATGGTCAGAGAATGTATCTGTCTCCTCAAATAGACTTAGAAAGTTAATACACAGGTTCTATGAAATTCGAGATATTTTGAATACATTTTTGTACGGTAATACTGCTGCTATAAAAGAATGGCGATACTTCTGAATCTACGCCTCTGAATAATTTTTTTTACTGTGACTGTGGCTTTTTCATATGAATTTCTAATAGGAAGTAACTAACATATTAATGCTAGATACCCTGTATATTTCTGAGAAGTGTAACATACACAAAATTTCTTAACCGTGCTAAAAAATGGGTGGGAAAATGCAACAAAACACTAATTGAGCTGCGCAAAAGTAACGTTCCAAGTCAGCCGTGTTAAAGTGCTGCTATACGTGCAGATAGTAATTTGACGTTGGTTAACAAGTTGAAATTTAGATAATAAAGTTTGGCAGTTAGTTGCAAAGTAATAATAGTTTTCTCTGAAGTTTCCGAATCTCAAAACTGCACATTGTGTAAGTAGATTGACACTAATTGTGCAAGTGCACTCGCAATAAGTCCAAAGGTCGTTTTCTTATTCACTACAAACTATCTGGTAAGTTCAAAAAGCGACGACCAAGTTTAAGAATGTGTTGGTTCTTATCATATACAGGGTGGCTTTTTAAGTCCATGTCATGTGGCTCACTCCTAACCAACAGGAGAAAATTTCAAAACATGTGCGCTGTTGTGCATTGTGGAAATTCTAGCAACTGTATGTTGTGGACATCCTGTATAACAAAAATAAATAAATTTCTAATTAAATGAAAAGAAAATTGAGGAAAAGCATCTCGACTTAATCTCAAATTAAATTTAATTATTAGAACGTGTTTCGTTTCATATTTTATTCAACATTGAATAATTTTTTTAATAAAGAACTGTAATTTCTAAACATTTAAGGCAAAATGTAGCTCGCGACGTCGGTTAGTAAACATTTTTAATATTGCCACTCTGAAGGAAGTTATATGACTTTAAATGTTGGACATAAATCTTTGGTATACAGTTTTCAGAGTTTCTTTCCTCGAAATGAATACTACAGTGTAAAAATCTCATACCGACCATTCACTAAAGGAAACTTCATTTTGAAGCTGAAGCTGAGTCTGTGCAAGTACCGCAAAAAATAAATCTACAGGATGTCGCTACTTCAAACTTTTTAAAAGATTTAGCTCGGAATTAATTTTTATATTTGTATTTGATTCGAAAGTATAGTGAAACATGTTTTTCTCTCGTTACTTTTCAGAAAAACGCCCTGTGACAGACAAAAATAATTCAAAAAGCAATTTACGGTTATTAAAACGAATCGTTATTATTATCGCGATCATCTTTCGCAAAATAGGCTGGAGGAAATCAATTCTACTCAACCTACAGTAATGACAATACTAACTCACTGTCTTATCACTTCCCTTAACAGCCGCAATAGAGTCTTTGCCTTAGGCGCCGTTCATAATTTATCTTCTTATACTAACGCGTACTGTATTCAAATAGGAATAATAGTCCGGAAATCATCATTCATATTTTACAAATACACCCGATAGAGGCTTCTTTGATTTTATTGTGCTGTGTCCGATTGTATTGAAAATTATTTTCCTTGACTCATGACCTGGCAAACTCGCAATTCTTTAATGAATATACATAAATAAGTAAATCTCTGTAAATATTGCTCAAACATAGAAGCACATATTGTCAACGATAATCTTGAGCCCATTTATTTAAATACATCTGAATAATTAATTGTTTAAAGGTTTGCAAGGTGTGAAATATATACACAGAAAAGAACCTTTCGGTGGAATAGAAATTGTGGCGAAGTGCTGAGCAAAGACACTGTAAAATAAATCACGTAATTTATGAGGGAAATAGTATAGTCACGGAAGGATAAACTGATTTTGGAACTCTCTACATATATTTGGAGACCTTTCACAAATTGATACGGGACGCAATAGATGCCGAACTATTTATTTTGCATATTTTCCGTATTTCCGTAATGAGAAATCTAAATTTGTCACGTTATGAAGTGCCCCAACTTTAAACTGAAACTAAAGGTATATTTCTATCAGCGACTTTTCTTTGCCTCAAAAATGGTGTATTTCAGCGCTTTGGAGTTGAAAATAACTTTTAAATATTTTTTTTTGTGCATACAAATTTAAATGCCTTTTTGTCGAAAAGAGATATTAGTAAGGTATACCTTTTTCAAGCAGAAAAGTTGGAGGGAAAGATTTTTCCAGCTCAAAGTGAAATACACGGTGGCACAAAAAAGTTTTGGCAGTTTAAATGCGTCGTAATGTTCGCTCGTGGCGCCCACTAGATGATACAACGAAATCGTCGATAAATTCGAATTTCCCATCCCAAAAAACCGTCGGATATAAAATTTCACGAAATTAGCTCAAAATAGTCGAAAGATATTAAAGAAAATATTATTTGTTTTTTCGACTTTGACACTGCAACACTGTTATTATCAATTTTTGGACTAATGTAAGTCAAGTTTCTCTAAAAATCGGAATCTTATATGCATTTGTATTGGGTATTCATTTATTTTTAGTAAATGTAACAAATTTGCACAAAAATGATTAACACACGTGGGTAATGGATATAAATACCCAAAGTATTGAAGTCTAGCAATAAAATTTAATGAGTTTCATAGGCGTCCCTAAAAAAGTGTTCTGCTAAAGGTAAAAATAATAATAATTTGTATACAGCGTGTTGAAAATTTCTATTATATGTTCATTTGGCCAAAAACATATTTAATTATTTATGTCCTCCAACAATTTTATTATATTGATAGTAAATTTTGGTTGTGACATATCAAGAAACATTTACATTTTCACTAAAATATATTACTGCACTGCTAGGCAGTTTGTCAACAACTGAAATTTATGGCCGGTCGCCCAGTGCAGCTGTGTTTGTACGCCGTTTGCCCGCGCGCGCGTTTCTTCAACTGGGCGTATACATTTCTACCACCTCCACGTTTAGATCGGCCAGACCTGTATATGGGTATGGCTAAATGAATATGGGAACAAGTTTTTTTTTTAATTTCTCAATACCGAGTTGCTGCGTAGCGACCAAACCTGGTACATACTGCCTAGCTCTTTGGTCTTCAATTTTTAAGATTGGAAAGACTATAACATTTGATTGTACCGGTATTTATTCTTTATATTTACCATTTTATATCTTTTGAACGAGATGAGGGGTCGAAAAATTTTTTAATAAAAGTTGAGAGATGAGAATTTTCGTATGACGTAGAAAAATTGTGAGGAAAAGAGGTAAACTTACCAAGGTGGAACTAAAAAATATTTCTATCGTCATGCCATAAAGATCTCCGCTTGCGGTTTACTGTTTGCTCTATTCGTTTTCGTGCAATGGCGGTCAACCTTCAATTTTGGTTACCCTGTACAGCTGTGGACAATAAAAAGTTACTTCATTGCACCATTCTGTAAATTCCATTAAACGTTTTAGTTCGGAATCCTTTTCTGTCGATAACTGTTTACAAACTTAGTGTAATAATTGCAGTTTTGCAGTAGTGTAATATTGTCACATTAATCTTATACTGGGTTAGTCAAAAGTATGGAAACCCCGAAAAATCTCAGCATTTTTGGGGTAAATGGTGAGGACTAAGGTCTCAGCATTTTTCACGGCTCATCCGATTGTAACCTTGACCTTGAGTTCAAGGTCACATCAATATCAAGTTGGTTTTTAGAAAGGGCGACCCTCCTTTTCGACCCCAGAAATGGAAAGAACAGAAAATTCTGCATCCCAATTTATAACATTGACCGTGACCTCAAGGTCAATGACCAAGGTCAAATTTTGATTTTTACTTAAGTTTTTATTTCTAACTACGGAATCAGGGTCTTTGAGTAGATTCCTGATGGTACTCCTTAGTGACCTTGATCTTGAGGTCACTAAAAAATTAAGAGCCTTCAATTTCATCGTCGAAAATAAAAAATGACATCCGGAATTATCACTTGACCTCTACCTGACCTTGACTATTGACCTTAAGGTCACCTTTAAGATCATAATAACATGTTGAGTTCTACGCTCTCGTATTTCTAGTGTCGAAATAAGAGGTCGCTACTCCAAAAACCGATATGACCTTGACATGTTCTTTCGACCTTGACATCAAGATCAAGGTCACTAAGAAGTACCATCAGGTATCTACTCAAAGACTGTCGCTCCCTCTGATTTCGTAGTTAAAAATAAAAAATTACAGTAAAAATCAACATTTGACCTTGAACTGACCTTGACCATTGACCTTGAGGTCACGGTCAATGTCATATTCGGATGCAGAATTTTCTGCTCTTTTCATTTCCGAGATCGAAAAGGAGGGTCGCTATTTAAAAAACTGACATGACCTCAAGACCATGACCTTGAGCGTTGACCTTGAACTCAAAGGCAAGGATCATCCTGTTTTAGGATACAGCTTAATTTTTAAGAAAATAACGAATTCATTAACACAACAGTCGAAGAAAGAGCGTTCGATAAAAGTCCAATACGTTCGGGAATTTATTACGTATTTTCCCAAGTGCGTCTTAATCACTTTCGATGAAATAAATAAAATGCTCAAGGAAAATCCCCCCGAGAGAATATTAAATCAAAAAGGAAGAGAAATTATAGTAGTAGCCCACTAGGCCGTTCAATCAAGTTAAAGTACGTGTGCCCCTCGGTTCCGCGGTAACACAAAAGTTTCGAATTGAAAATATAAGAATGGAATCCGCCGATAATTTAAAGCATAAAGGGTTTATTGTGATTTCTTTTGCAGTTCCACCGAACATCATCGATACAGAGAGCACGCAATCCACTGTTGCAGTGCGGGAGAACCAGAATATCAGCTTGACGTGTAAGGCGGATGGATTTCCCACGCCTAAGATTATGTGGAGGCGAGAAGATGGCCAAGCAATATCCGTTGAACGCCGCAAGAAAGGTAAATGCCAGCCAGAGTTAAATTTTTCAATTATGTGTGTATTCGGAATTTTGATTTTAATTCCGCAAGGGTGCGAAGTGGAAGGGAAATTTGGTTTTTATTTCATTCCTTTGGAAACATCGATTCTTGGCCCGATACGCTTACAAAATCATTTTTAAAAGTGTACATTTTCTGTTATTAACTTTTTCCACCCCAAACGGGAAACTCAAATCCGAGGTTAGTTTGCCTGCATAAGGTCACTTAAGGGTTATTTCAAGGTCATCTAAGGGTCAAACCAAGAAAAAAAAAACGAGAAATTGTTTACCGTTTTGAAGTCTCTGTGTTTGAATCCAAGGTCCGTTTATATGGATCAAATCAGGTTTAAGGTCATTCCAAGGTTGATTTGAGAAAAAAGACGGTACGATTAGTGAGGGGCGATTTTGGAACTCCCTGTATTTCACCGAATCTTGTTGGAAACTGAAGACTGAACTGACCATATTAACCTATATAAACTTTAGAAAAACTCGTATTTAATCATATTACCTCGAATCCACCCATATTCCTCCATAAAACGGTGTATTCTCTCATACTAACCCACTCTACCCTATAGCCATTTTACCATATACACGCATATTACTCCGTATAACAAGAACCCTTACCTTCCTCCTTATTACCTCATACTAGCCAATATTGCCCGATATCAATCCAGCTTCGGCCGGAAACAAGAGTGGTCTGAAATCGTCTCTCACTGTCCCTACCATAAGTCCTTTTTCTCAAATCAACCTTGAAATAACCTTGAACCTTTATTTATTTATTAAATGACCTTAAAATGACCTGACACAGACAAACTGACCTCAGGTTTGAAGTCAGCAATACCAAATACGTGTATAACAGGTGGTTAATAACTTAATTGCTTAGTTTTTCTCAACTTGACCCTGAAATGACCTTGAGACGACCTTCAAATAACGTGATACAGGCAAACTGACCCCGGATTCAAACTCAACGGCCCCAAAATCCTGTATAACATGTAATCGGACTTGATTGCTCGGCTTTTTCTCGATTTGACCTTGAGATGTCCTTGAAACAACCTTAAAATGGCCTGATACAGACGAACTACCTCCGATTCAGATTCAGCTACCCAAAAAACGTAAACTCCGAGATCCTTTTATTGAATGCACTTTTTCTCAATCTGACCTCTAATTGACCTTGATCCTGACTAGGAAGGAGGGGGGAGGTCCCGTTTGGGGTGGAATCGATTAGTTATTGGATATCAATAATAAAAAATGTTTCCTTTTTTCGGCTCTAAACTTACGACTTTGAAATTTTGCATGCTTGTTCCGTTCTGATGACAATACACTAAAATGATAGAAATAACCTGATGCTGCAGTCAGGATTGTCTACTCATGAGGGCACTCCTCAATGATAGCAGAGGCGTTACTTGAAATTAATAGATTGAAAAATATTTCTAACTATAAAGGTGTAAATAAAATAATGAAGAGAAAAAAAAACATTTCAAATAAATACGGGAACAAGTTTTTCAGATATTTCAATGTCGAGTTGCTGCGTCAGCTACATCTGGTACATACTGCCAACCTCTCGGTTCTTCATTTGAGATCGGAAAGACTCAAAAAACTTAAAAAACAACACTACGGACCCTTAAAGTAAAATTTAATCTCTACGAAGAATACTTTTTGTGTACTTAGTTGAATCACCCTGTACACCAGTAGTGCGATCATATTTTGCTTAAGTTTACATTAGTCGCAGCACTTAATAAAGTTTGTACGGTTACATTCCGCAAAGTCTTCTCTAAATGAAATTTTTAATAACGTAAAAGCAAAAAAAAAATGTATACCAATTCGGTACTCATTGTCTTCAAAGATATTATAACATACTATATCTCCAGAACAAAGTGGTATTTGGCTATAGAAGTTAGAACATAAATAAATAAATAAAACATTGTTTTATTAATAATGTATGTTTCATCATAAAAACAGAATGAAAACATTAGTAATTTACCCAAATATTTTTTTGCAAAAATAGTACGTATTAAAACGGCTCAGGAATATTTGTATGTCACCTTGAGTCAATCAAATTCATAGATTCGCCGTATCTATTGTATTAATTTATTGTATATATCTCGCAAATTCCCGTTATAATATATCTAAAGAAAGAAAAACATAAATATTCAAAATTGGAAACAATAAGTAACATGTCTTTATTTCAAAATAAATTTGCTGTAGCTGATTATTAATTAAGGACAACGTATCTTATAACAGCAATCTAATGCGCACGTATTATATGCCAGCATTATACAGGGTGGTTCATATGCTGGGTAACAACAAGTGCTGGTAGGTACTGTGGTAACGAAGCACTTTTTAATTCCGAGTTTTGGCAATTTTTTTCTCGTTTGAAATCATCTTTTATACTCTAAAACATTGCGTATTACAGAAAAAACTATTTCTCTGCGGGATATTACAGTCGATAACACAGCCATACAAAAAAATCAAATGCGCTGAACACGATCCTATGGTTAAAATTTATGAATTTCCGAGAAAAGTGAAATTTTTGGGTGAAGACGCCCAAATATGGGTCAAAACATAATTCTTTCCTAAATTGTCTCCAAATATAACATTTTCGTAGTATTTTAAGGCGATGAATAGTATGTTATTAGTAAAATTTACTTTCGGTACTTTTTTCCTAAATTTTTCCTAAATTTTCCTAAATTTTGTCCAAACATATAATTTTCGTAGTATTTTAAGGCGATGAATAGGATGTTATTAGTAAAATTTACTTTCGGTACTTTTTTTCCTAAATTTTTCCTAAAATGTCCTAAATTTTGTCCAAATGTCCTAAATTTTATCCAAATATATCATTTTCGTATTATTTTTAGGCGCTGAACACGATGCTATTAGTAAAATGTACCCATGATCTCGATAATTCTCAGAATATCCATTATTTGAGTGAAAACTGGCCCAAAACCTAATTTTTTTCCTAAATTGTGTCCAGATATATAATTTTCGTAGTATTTTAAGACGCTGAATGGGATGCCATTAGTAGAATTCAATATTTATTTGGGTGAAACCTGGCCCAAATATGGGGTCAAAACTGATATTTTCCTAAATTTTGTCCAAATATTTCATTTTCGTAATGGCATCGTGTATAGCGCCACAAAATATTCCGAAAATGATATATTTGGACACAATTTAGGAAAAAATTTGTTTTGATTCGTATTTGGGCCAGTTTTCACTCAAATAGCCGATTTTCTGAGTAATATCGTGGTCATGCGTACATTTTACTAATGACATAGTGTCCAACGCTTCAAAATACTACGAAAGTAATTATTCGGACAAAATTTAGAAACAAAATTAGTTTTGACCCATATTTGGGCCAGTTTTTACCCAAATAGTGAATATTCTGAGAAATATCGAGGTCATGGGTAAATCTTACTAATAGCATCGTATTCAGGTCGCCTGAAAGTACCAAGAAAATGATATATTTGGACAAAACTAAGGACGTTTGGACAAAATTTATGACATTTGGACAAAATTTAGGAAAAATTTAGGAAAATTTTGGAAAAATTTAGGAAAATTTTGGAAAAATTTAGGAAAAAATCAGTTTCACTCAAAAATTTCACTGTGTCAGTTAATATGTTTCTGGCAGTGCACTCTGTTAAAATATTCGAATTTGTTCACTATCAACCACATTCACCGGAATATCACGCAGACTGGAGATACAATTTAGGTCATATAATAAAAATAT